AACGTGAATTCGACGTCTGATTATGAGCCGAATCTCATTTTACACAACACCTGCCTTCCCATGTGTTCTAAGTTATGTCCTTCTCTAAAAATATATCCCTCGGATTCTACCGTTGTACCTATTTGTGAAATGATATGCTCGGAGCTGTGCTTAGAAGCGTTCGAATCAATACCCGGTAACAAAAAGAAAGAAAAATGTTATGATTTTGAAGGTTTTGGATGCGTGCCCTATATATCAGGATATCCAGATGCCAGAAAAAAAGTCAAAACTAAATTCGTGCTCTACAATAAAAATAGAAATGTTGTATTCTTTTTCAAAAAAAGGTTAGTACGATATTATTAATTTTTTGAATTTTTAGAAGGGACAGATACTTGATCATTTTAATCCAAACGGAGTATTAGAATCAAATTTAGATCCGAAAATACCTACAAAATTCATTATTCATGGTTTTTGGAATACAATACCGGACTCGTTTGCTGCTGAATGGATGAAGGTTACTATAGAGAGAACCTATACACATTTGTATAAATTCACGACTATTATATAATAAAATGTTGCTTTTAGACAATGAAGAATAAATTATTAGAAGAGGGTAATTATAATGTCATATATGTAGGATGGGATAGTCTCCCCAGTATTATACCATACGTTCAGCCGGTGGCTAACACAATTGTCGTTGGTCTGGAAATCGCTAACATGATTAAACATTTAAAAGTAATAGCAACTAAACATACTATAATTAGATTATAAAATAAACCACTACATGTTATCGTTTGTTTAATTACATGGTCAGAACAAGATGGGCTTAAACCCAGAAGATGTTCATTTAATAGGGCATAGTCTAGGAGCGCATATCGCAGGTTATGCTGGAAGATATACACCAGGTTTGGGTCGCATCACAGGACTTGATCCAGCAAAACCACTATTTCATGATAGACCTATTGAACATAGACTTGATCATACTGATGCACATTTCGTAGACGTCATCCATACTCATACTGAGTGTAAGTAACGTGCTTGATAACTGAAATACTTCTCTGTAATCATAGCTACTTTGTTGACAGTGTTTGGCATTGAACAACCTTGCGGACATCTCGACTTTTATCCAAACGGTGGTAGTTACCAACCGAATTGTTTTCGGTGTTCATGGAATCCTTGTGGTCATAGTAGAGCCTATGAACTATTTACAGAATCTATCCACTCGCAATGTGTGTTTAAGGGATGTGGAAAGGTATTTAGAGATTATACAGTTATTAAACGTACAACATTTGCAGTTTATAAACGTGCAAAATACATGTTTAGGTCAATGATAATACTGTTTGTGCTGTGATGGGTTTAAATGCGAAAAAACCTTCATCCATCAGCAACTACGGTATACGATACTACTTAAATACAAACGAAGAATCTCCGTATTGCCGTGAGTTTTATGTTTTTATCCATTTTAATGTATACATATAAGTATGAGAATGTTTTTTGTTATTTTTTTAGTATCAAAATAACAGCGACATTATGATTGAATCACCGAAATGAAGTACTAGAACATTGATGCCCCTCAAAAGTCGTAAATTTAAAATGTAATTTTTTTATTATGTTAAAAACTAATAAAGTTCCGATTAGAAATATGTGAAAAAGTTATTTTTTTAAATTTATATTTATTTAACATCGACTATAATGGGCCTTTAGCTGTTACACATATTATTTATAAAATTTTTATTACTATTTTTACATAGGTACATAATATGCTAAAATCACAATTTTATAATATGGCCTCTAATTAAATTGTCCGAAAATTATATTATTATTTATTATTTCTACAAATTGATAGAGACATCTCATTTACCTATACAAATAAATCTCAATGTGTATGTGTATTTTTTATAAAATAATTTATCGTTTCCTATTATCATTATAAAACATAATATTAACGTAAAGAATTATATTTGTAAATTATACAACTGCTCTCTACCGCAAAATATATAATCGTAATTATTTTACAGAAAACAATTATTTAGTTCAAAATAAATTCTTACCTTGCGGTTACCTGCTGGTTCGGTAGTTTTTGTATTTGGCGTTATAGTAAAACAACATAAAAAAATGCGCAAATGTTGGCAATCATTGTTAATTTTTATAATTTTAATTATAATATATTAAAACACAAATCTTTCATGTGATATTGTGTAGCTAAGTATAATAGTATACTCGCAAGTCGTTATAGTTGTGTAAGTTTAGTATAGTTCGTGTGTAGTTTGCATTATAAAAAAGCCTAAGTACATTTACATCGAGGCTATACTGAAAAAAACGAACTGTTTATTATAATTTCATAAGTGAACATTTTTTTTTATGTCTGGTACTTATTAATATTGATTATCTATACCTAATGCAAAATAGACGATTTATCATGTTTTAAAAATACGATTTTCTGTATCGATAAAAGTTTGACCCAGTATTCTGTAGATACTTTTGATGGCCCTTTTACTTTCTTTATACTTTACTTTTATAAGTGCTATTTTAGAACCCAAGTTCAGAAAAATGCATCGTTACTTAAGATAAATTGTTTAATTTAAAGCGTTAACTGCCGAATACTCAATTTTTCTCCAATCAAAATAATATTCTGACTTCTTTGACATATTTTATAAGGTTAAGAAAAATACCAAATCGTTATCTTAAGCATAGACTATTCTATTCGAAACCATAACCTATAACCTATTTATATATAACCTATATAAATATATAAACATGAATGTTTGTCTGTCTGTCTGTTTGTTTGTCCTTTATGCATTAGTGCACTATTCATTCGATCGCCATGAAACTTTGAGATGTTGTTGAGTACACTTCCGTGAACCTAACTGGCATAGTACTTTTCGAAAATTCCACCCCTAAGGGTGGCCTCAAACACGAACTTTGTACTTTAAATACGAAATGTAAATAAATTAAATGTTTGTAACCATGGTAACCCAAAAGAAAAACTTGGTTTGTAACCATGGTAACCACGGTAATCGAGGAAATGGTAGGTGATGATTAAAAGGCCCAGCGTACACGGCGCGACTGTTTTGCGACCAAGGTTGCAAATTAGTTGAGCGCGCAACTAGTTTACAACCAAAACGAAACTTCTGTCTGCACACGAGTAAGACTGATTGCGGATCAGTTGGTATTTTCTATTCAAATAGTGCAGTTGTTTTTGCCGTCGAGTTCTGATTCAGATGAGGACATCATTAATTATTACCAATACCGCAGGCTTCGCAGGGTACAGAGAGAGCATTTGGTCCACCCTTATATAAGAGAAAACAGACCTACAATTTTATAATTTTGTGCAAAAATATTATACTGTAATTTATATTTTTTCAACTGCTACTTTGTATATTTTTAAAGCCAATATTAAAATATATTAAAAAACGTTTAACCTACATGATTATACATACATAAGTATATCTATTATTATTTTAAAAATATGGGAAAGATATGTAGAATATTGGAGCGAAGGAAGTTATTTTTATTTGAGGTGTCAAAATTAATTTGATTAGAGTTCTTTTAGAAGTTTGTTGGATGAAATGAGATTTTTATGGATTAACGTTTTGTTAGGTAGTGTATAAAATTAGAAGAGGATGAATGTGTTTGTGTACTACTATGTGGGTGGACATCCTGCCCGTAATTTTTTACGTGGTATTAGTTGATAGCCTTTTTACGTGCAATTGATTGTGAGGAGTAAACATAACTGACACAATATCTGTTTTAAAGTGTCTCTGCCAAACTAATGCTTTCGATAGCTATAAAAAAAGCGATAAACAAATGTTGCTCTGTCGGGAGGTGAACATGAGCTGTTTTCACATTATATTCGAATAAAATAAGAATTTAAAAAATAATTATTTGTATTTATTATGTATAAATGTGAAAATCATACCAAAACGCAACTTGCCATAATTTACCTCCCTAAGTACCAGTGTATAAAATGTGTGTATTATAGAGTTTCTACTCGAAGTAATTTGTCCAGTAATAAAAAAAGTTACAGTGAACGCTGACACAAAAAACCTCACATCATTACAAAACCAATAGCATCGCTGATCCGCGTAGAAGCTAAAAACAATTCATATCATGAATCTTTATATTTTTTCACATATAAGAATGAATCTTCAATATAGAACATAAAATGGATTTTGTGATTGGTTCGGTTTATGTAGGTGTGGAACTCGTGTAGGGGGAATGTCATGTCCCCACCACCGGCCACCGGTAAAAATCCCAAGTGATACATAAGATCGATTAGGTACCGCAAATGGGCTATTCCGTGGTACATAATTCAGCAGTCATACGTTCAGTGTCAGTGACAACTCGTTGCACTCACATTCTTTATAACGTTATTCCGCGATCATGTGCAGATTTATTTTGATGTTTTTCGCTTTAATCAGCGTTCGGTCCTCACTCGTGACGGTGGACGTGAAATCGACGTCCGACTACGAGCTGCAGTCCGTTTTAAACAACACCTGCCTTCCCATGTGTTCTAAGTTATGTCCTTCTCTTAAAAAATATCCTACGGTTTCTCCCGATGTATCTATATGTGAAATGATATGCCCGGAGCTGTGCCTAGAAGCGTTCGAATCAGTACCCGGTAACGAAAAGAAAGAAAAATGTTATGATTTTGAAGGTTTTGGATGCGTGCCCTATATATCAGGAGATCCAGACGCCAGAAAAGATGTCAACATTACATTTGTGCTCTACAATAAAAATACAAATGTTATATTATTTTTTCATTAAACGTTTGTTCCGATATTATTACTTTTTTGCATTTTTAAAAGGGACAGACACTTGATCAATATAATCCAAATGGAGTTTTACAATCAAGTTTAGATTCGGAAATACCTACAAAATTCATTATTCATGGTTTTTGGGATGAAATACCGAAATCATATGCTACTGACTGGATAAAGGTTACTTAAGAAGAACTGATGGCAAAGTTTTATAAAATTGCCTACACCTATTATAATATAATAAAATGTTGCTTTTAGACAATGAAGGATAAATTATTAGAAGAGGGTAATTATAATGTCATATATGTAGGATGGGATAGTTCCTTCAAGCTTATACCATACTATCAGCCGGTGGCTAACACAATTGTCGTTGGTCTGGAAATCGCTAACATGATTAAACATTTAAAAGTAATAGCAACTAAACATACTATAATTAGATTAAAAAATAAACTGCTACATGTTATCGTTTGTTTAATTACATGGTCAGAACAAGATGGGCTTAAACCCAGAAGATGTTCATTTAATAGGGCATAGTCTAGGAGCGCATGCCGCAGGTTATGCTGGAAAATATACACCAGGTCTGGATCGCATCACAGGACTTGACCCAGCCAAACCACTATTTCATGATAGACCTATTGAACATAGACTTTATCATACTGATGCCTATTTCGTAGACGTCATCCATACTAATACGTACTGTAAGTAACGTGCTTGATAACTGAAATACTTCTCTGTAATCATAGCTACTTTGTTGACAGTGTTGGGCATTGAACAACCTTGCGGACATCTCGACTTTTATCCAAACGGCGGTAGTCAGCAACCGAATTGTATATTTAGTTCTTGTAGTCATAGTAGAGCCTATGAACTATTTACAGAATCTATCTACTCGCAATGTGTGTTTAAGGGATGTGGAAAGGTATTTAGAGTTTATACAGTTATTTAACGTACAATATTTGCAGTTTTTGAACGTGCCAAATACATTTTTAGATCAATGATAATACTGTTTGTGCTGTGATGGGTTTAAATGCGAAAAAACCTACATCTATCAGCAACTACGATATACGATACTATTTAAATACAACCGGGACATCTCCGTATTGCCGTGAGTTTTTTGTTTTTATTTATTTAAATGTAGAAAAAGCTTAAGCAACTTATGGTTATATGTAATAAAATAATGTTTATATTAGTATAAACATTTTTGGTTTTTTTTAATAGCGGAATAACTTTAACATTGTGATTGAATTATCGAAATGGAGATTGGAGTACCATAACATGGATGCCCCTCAAAAGTAGTAAAATTAAAATGTAAATTTTTCATTATGTTAAAAACTAATAAAGTTCCAATCACAAATATGTAAAGTAGTAATTTTTTTTAAATTTATCTTTATTTAACATTGTTTACAATGTCCATTAGCTGTAATACATTATTTATACAATTATTATTACAATTGTTACATACATAATATTATAAAATTGCGACAGCGGAAAGACAAAATCACATGGGTACCATGACGTCAGTTATGTTAAGATGCTCGTTTCGTTTAAGGTTATGCCATTCTAGCGAAAAACCCCAGGAAATTCTATCCGAGTCTTATCTATGTGTTAGATGTTTTTCAATTCCTGTAATCATTGGCTGAGCGTAGTAAATAAAGTATAGAGTTATATGAATAGTAATAAATTTATAAAAGTTTAGAAAGGGTAGTAAGAATTGTACTTTGTTTTATTTTAAGTGATTTTTGAATTTTAGTATCTGAAAGTTGGATGGTACTCACATAAATTCAATATTCTTATGTGTGAAAATGAATGGAAACAACTGTTACGGCAAATTGTTACATTTATCAGCAGAGTTGAGTGGACGCACACAAGTAAAATTTTAATAATTAGATAAAACTGTGAGTAGCACTTTGTACTGTAAGGGCGAATGAGGCAGATAGTGCGATCCAATGATGAATCTCAACTGATGGGCCACGGCGTAGATAGATATTGTCTAGTACAATATCTAATAATAATAAGTAGTAATACAATTAATTCGGAATACCCTAGACTGGTTTAGGGCGAGAAATAACGTTCAGATGAAACATTACCACGTTATGTAATAGTCATTATATTAATGATAATTATAATAGTAATAATAGAAAATAGACGGACCAATAGCCGGATTTATTCGTCTAAGATATAGTATAAACGGTTGCTTATGGCTGGGCAAAATACACTACCTGTATAGTGTATACGGGTTATCAGGTATATGTGTGCTATGCTACAATGCCCACCCGTGTAGCTATAGTCATGGCTTTTTTTCTCGGTACAATCTTACAATGTCTAGGTGTTAGTAAGGAAGTAGGCACGCTGATATGCGTAATACTTAGCTTAGTACAATATTTTACAAAACCAGATTTCATAATGTATAGTAACAATAGTGACATAAATTATAATACAACATGAATTGTAATGAATAGATGCCAATTTTTTTGTTTTTTTAAACATTATTGTTATTATTGTTAGTAAATTACGATAAGAGTATATCTTATGGCAATCGAGGTCGTAGGCGCCAATTTTTTATTTTAGCTCAAAAACTATAGTCATATTATAGGTGCACAAGTAGCGCTCGTCTAGCGAACAACTAACAAATTAATGTCGAGAGATTCTTCCATTATAAAGCATAGAAAAATGTAAAATTTACATATTTTAAAAAAAAAACGTATTGTACATTTTTTTTTTTATGGATGAAATGGATAAAACCATTCGCTTTAAACTGTCTAAATGAAGTCAGAGTGGAAAGCTATTGTGTAAACAAAAACCGGCAGTCATTTTCTGAGTAGCTCCGAAATAATTAAATTATATAAATGTCTATATTAAATATAGATATAATAATAAAAAAACAACCCACTCAGATAATACGTCCTATATTTCCCATGGTAAATTATCAATGTTTCCATTTTGATTTCATTTATTCTGTGGTCTCGAGTGAACATTTTTAAACTGTGTCCTGATCCAGTCGTGAATTAGGGGAATTCCCGTGTCATTAACTATGGTTAACTAGTGTGATTTCTTCAATATTAATAACACTCATCATCATTGACTGTAGTATTGAGATTTTGTGTAATTTGTTTAGTTATTGATTTAATGATATGAGTATATGACCCATTAAGATAGGTTTAACAAGAAAGTTTCGGTTTTGGAGCTCTTCAAACAGTCCTTACTCTGATATTGAGTTACTGCATGCGAGGTGCACTGAGCTTACCCCGATAAGCCTCAAATATTTCATTAAAAATATATTTCTTTTTTAATGTAAAACCTGTATCAAAATAAGAAATTGTTTTTTTAACCATTTTTTCATTGCATACATTTGAAGTTCTCAAACATTATTTTATCGATTTAAATATTTAAAGTCCTACTACAAATATTCACACAACTATTTTTACAAAAATATGAAATTATGTTGATACTTAATTTTGTTATTTTGATTTTAGACTCAAAAGTTGTGCTATGTCGAATCTGTAAGTAACAATATAGAATTTACAGCACGTTATAAATTGTACATAGTCTTTTCACTCTTTTGTATATTTCTTAAATTAATCTTATACATTTGTATTAAATAAATGTACGTTTAGAGATAACAAACCAAGATTTGCTTTTGGTGTATTAACGAGACCATGTCTCATGCTAAACAAAATGGTAGATAAATAAAAATCATCCTATTTTTTTAATGTAAAGATGCACTACGTTTGTTATAAAAGCGTGTAAAAAATCTAATACAGTATTAGAAATTATTCTTCATTCTCTTCTGAAACAACCGAACTTAGACCTTCTTTGCCTAAGTAACAATTTTAAGTAATCAAAATGTAAAACATTTTTAACATACTTAAACTTACATCAGCTTTTTAGGAGCCGCCAGTACAGCTGTACTACGGTTTTAGACAAATAATAATTTATCTTCTATATATATAAAATTGAATGTATGTATGTGTCCTTTATGCATTAGTACACCATTCATCCGATCGCCATGAAACTTTGGAAAGTTGTTGAGTACACTCCCGCAAAGGTGTCTAGCATAGTACTTTTTGAAAATATATTATTCAGGATCACCGGGTAAGATTGAAATCGGCTTAACAAACTTGTATTATATAAACCTAAAACGAGTAAACAATTTAAACATAATATAATATTGTTATAATTTTAAGTATCTACCATAAATATAACAAATGTTCCTAAAGAAAAAAAGGATATTTTAAGTGAGATTGTTTTTTTTAAATAAAATAATGTTATTATTTTTTAAACATAATATAATATTGTAATAATTTTAAGTACTTTGAATGTAACAATTTGTTTTTAAAGACTAAAAAAAGAAATTTTCAGTGAGGTTATTTTTTATTAAAACATAAAATTAGTTCCTATTTGTCTCTAGTCATATCATAAGAAATAAGAAAAATAGTGCAGAATTTGCACGTGTTCCGGTTCACCCCATCGACGTAGAAATAAGAACACGTTTTCGAAAACATTTTTTGTTGATAAAACTGGATGACCTAAAAAAAAATTTTACACTAAAGGTTTTGATTATCTAAAATATTTTTCAGAAAAACTTAATCTCGTAAATTGAGGATTTTATCGTCGAAAAGCCGTTTTTATTCACCCCATTTTACGGTATATTTGTTAAATTTGTTTACATATTTTTACTTATTAATATTTTATACATGCTTGCCGGTGGCATGTCTTTCAGCATACTCGACCAAATCCAATACACGCTTTGACTTATGTGGCCATATTTCAAAACCACGTACCGGCTGTGTGTCTTCAAACACCTTTAACCGATTACAGTCAGATTTTTTCGGTTATTAACGAGAATATCAACAATGGATTTGTTCTAAATTTATTTTTTTTTATCAAATCTCAAGCCTATGCAATTGATTACATGCATGCATGTTTTAGTTGTATTGTTTACCGGAGCCAAATTACATAAATATGTAAGAAACATTGTAACATTAGTACATATAGCTAGTTAAGTTGATAACAATACGTTATTTTTTTCGTATGAAATTATAACAGTTATTAAATCATTAAATTTAATGAAATGGTTGTTTTGTCGAAGAAACATTTTTGAGATTTGTTAATAGTTGTTCTACAATAGTATTAAGGGTATTATTAAATAATGACAATTAAAAACACAGTACGAGTTAAGTTAAGAGCAAATCTATATGCTTTATTTTTAATTATATTAATATTATTACGTTAACAAAATGGCTCGTTCTAAAAAAAAAGAGCACCTAATTGCAATAATACAAATAATATATGCCAAGTGCCAACAACCGAGCGTTGCGTTTAATTTCTAAAGATCAGAATAAATCTTATAGACGCGACGTTGCTGAGTCAACGGGAATCAGTGTCTTTTTTTTAATATAATCGCCTATACCTAATGCAATACATAAAATGATCTGCTTGAAAAGCTGTCAAAAGTTATCATTATATTATGATATTAAAAAACAAAACAAGGCCTGGAGGAATCCAGCAAATATACTTGATTAAGGTGGTTATTTGTTGGAAACCGTATGGGAAAATGTTGAAACAAGTACATTGCCCAAGTTGGTATAATGTTAGCGAAATATTTTCATAGTAGTTTAATTTTGTTATGCTAAATTAAATAATAGTTAACATATAAATTCTTACTACATACGAGTATTTCCAATTACACGTTTTTAAACTTTAATTTAAAAATTAGTTTTAATTTTTTTTTATTAATTTTTCATGCACCAAGACAAATATTTGATGATCAGTATTGATTTTTCAAATGAAAAAAATACACACTACAGCTGTAAAGCTAAAATATACTATCAAACTATTAAACAATTAAAATTAATTCATTTGAATTTACCCCCACGACCGCGGACCGACTAGTAGCGCTGGGCGCTAATTGGGAGCCGTGGTCTCAAGGTATGTCTCAAGAACGTTAGGCCTCAACGACACTCTTTAGTCGCCTTTTACGACAGGCGTGTAGACCTTATCCCTATCCGCAGGGATAAGGAAGAAGTTATGGTAAAAAAAAAAAAAATAGTAGGTATGGCCAACTTATTGTTCTTAACTCAAAATTAAAAAAAAAAAGGGCATAAATAATAAATACCTTGATTTTGATTCAGATGATGAATGTTGTAGAGCTGACACAAAAATTGTAAGTAAATGGTAATGATATAACCAATGAGAGTGATGAAACCATTGATCAAATTGGACGATACAGTATTCCTAAAACAAGTTTAAAAAGAAATTTAGATAGAATTTGTAAGTGAAAAACAACATGCTGAGGCCATTGATTATTTTTTTAATATTGGTTCTGCAATGGCCGGTTTGGGTGAAAACGTTTTAAAATAGTTGTCTAATAAATTGTAAGTATGAGAAAAACATTTCCCGACAAATCGATATTATTAAGTATCGCTGAGATTAATATAATTATATGGTTATACTAATAATATAATACTTACACCGACACCATTGCAAAAAAAAACTAAATACGTTGAAAATTGAAGAGTTGATAGCGATCATTGCAAAAATACAAATGAAATGAATTATAATTATGAAATAACCAAATTATAGAACAGCGACCGTTGCCATACATCAGAATACATCAAACCAATATAGAAAAATAATCAGTGTTTGTTTTTATAAAATATTTGAAAATCTAAAATTTGGCGGCAAACTATAATAATGATAATCGCTTGATGTATTAGCGGGAGCTGTAAAAGAGATAATAAATAAACGGTTGGAGGTAAAATAATAATATACTAATTAATATAAAATCATTATAATTATAAACCTCTTTTTTCTATGCTACTTTTACATTAAAAATTGACCAAAACATAGGTATATGGACAAAAAGTTAAAAACCAACTTTTTTGAAAATAAAAAATTTTGTTTGGACTGTTTTGATAAACATCTCTATTATCATAATATTATGTCAACAATCATTGTAAACTGTTCACTGATAGATAACAGTTTTAACGTTGAACGAATCCTATTCGCATCTTTGTGACTTGTGGGTTGTCCATATTTTGCTATTGATTTTTATTTTTTGATAATATCACGTTCATTTATCCAAAGTGGGTAATTATATTACATATAATATAATGCATGTGCATTTCTCTACGCTGATTTCAGTAGGTATTATCATTTGAATATTGAATTGATAATATTCCATACACATTGCCTGCATTGGTCTTTATTATACATTCAACATAATATAATGGAATTTTCCGAAAATCCTTTCGATTTTGTATCACAATTCCGAAGTAAGTACTCTTACATTAATTTCATTACTAGTCTACTAATATACTTCATCAATTCTGTTGGTTTGTATATTTATTGTTACATTGGAATAAACCAAAGTATTTGATTTTCGATTTTTTCCTTTTATTTAAAAAAAATGGAGCCATTTTGAGGACAGAGATGAATTGAATCGGTCATTTTAAAAACCACATAAGTCAACTTTTTTTCAAAATGGCTTTTTTGGTCGCAAACTATTGCTTGAAGGTAGACCTATAATCCATGTTAAAACAACATTAGTCAGGTAATTCCTTCTCCATTTTACAGCGCCCTCTTAATAACGTTCATTGGTAAAACAACCTAAGTCAATGACTAATGTGGTTTTTACATGCATCGCAAGGTAGCGCGCACACAAACATGTCAGATTAGCACCATAAAGAAGACTCAAGCGTCTGTTCTGTAAGGTTCTGTGATTTAGATTAAATTGTTTGTTTACGTTTGTTCCATAATAAATTTTGATAAATTACAATTTTTAAGGAGTATCTTCAATATTTTCATTAAATATATGACTATTATCCTCATTTTGTTCGTTTTATATATACCTTAACTCCGTTTCCTGCTAAAACAACATAAGTCAAGCTCAGTTTTTCTGGGTTTTCTCTTTTAATTTTCCATGATTTGTGATTTTTATTTTTTATTTCAGCGTATTTAGGTCTAGTTGTTACATTTAGCTGAAAAAAATTCTTAAAAATTCGTTAAGGTGTGAGTAGGTGTCAGTTTTTATTGCCTCCTGCAAATTTTTAAATTGGTGACTTAGGTGGTTTTTAAAATGACCGATTTAATTATTATAATTGTTAGTAGTGATAAAATCACTTTCAAATAAACGCTGTGGTGCATAATTGTCGATGGTAAAAACACTTCTATATAAAATATATAAATAATTTTATAGACAACACATGTGATTACAGTTGTGTTGTTTGATTTTTTTTAAATTTTCTAAAGCATTACTAAGTGATTTGAACTTGTTTTAGAAAAAAATAGTTAACATATAATGTATTTTATTTAACTCATTACTTTGAAAATAATCTGTTGACAATTTTAACTAAGAGATTGTAAAATGTTTAAAACAAAAAAAAAAAAACAGCAAAATTATTTGTTTTACTTTAAATTAATCACCCTGAGTATATGACAAAAAAATCAAAAATCATGAACAGGTAGGTAATAATGTCAACATTTAAAAGATTATTATAATCGTAATCTTGTTTAAAGTTTTCTTTTTGGTTTTTCCTTATAAAAAAAATGGTTGTACCACAGATTTTTTAATCATTTGAATAGTTGGGGGCCTACTAGACCTTAATTCTAATTTTCAGACCTACACCCAAAAAGGGAAATAAAGAAATTATTTTTACCAATTGGTTGGAAAAGGCAAATGATATTCTCTTGGTTATTCAATGTACATTGTTAGTGTTGTATCTAAAAGAAACCCACATATGTTTAGTACAAGTTGACCTTTTTCTTAAAATCTTAGTGTAACGTAATTTTAAGATTAAATATTAAAATTTTAAGTTAGAACATTTTAATTTAAATGGGATAAACTTGTTTCTTTATTGACCTTATAAAGTACTTTTTAAGAACCATTTTTGATGAATAAGTTTGCTTCTTATAAATATAGGTCCATCATAATTAAATTAAAAATTTTTGTTAGTCTATAGTTTATTACTTAGTATTTATAAGAGTACAATGTATGACGTACAGAGGCGGATTTAGAGATTTTCTGATCCTTGACAGCTGCCCATAAACCTGACACTGTTTATATAAGTTTCTCATTAAGAGTTTATATTAAAATAATATTATTGTGTGTCTTAAGACGTCCAATACGAATAGCTCTATTTGCCTCACAATAATCATAGCAAAAAACAAAAAACATTGTACGTTTTATGTTTTCCCTCAATACTTTGTAAGTTTTACCATCACAAAACCCCTATTCAGTCCAATGTATTAGTTTTTAAAGTAAATAAAACTTAATACTTTTTACAAAAAAAATTGTTCAAGTATACTAGTTTTTTTTAGCAAATCGAAACATACTGTTTTTCGCAAGGCAAATAAAACATATACATTTTTGTAAATATACAATATAACTATAACTACGTAGTATTTTTTAGTTTATCGATTAATTAATATATTAACTAAATATTTCATACTAATTCATGTAATATTTCATCTATAAATTATCACTTGCCAAAATTGTGTCATTTCATTTTTATTGTTTATTACATTTTTAGAATTACAAGAGGAACAGAAAAGAAAAAAAATATTGTCAACAATCAGCACCAATGCGAAAAAAGATGAAACAACCAGTACTAATGCACCATCTAAAAAAATAGATTCTATTAATAACTATTCTAAGTAAAATTATTAATTGATTTATTTCTTCATCAATCATATCTTGATATTTGATTGTGTTTTTTACAGTTTGGATGTCGTTCCCAGTACAAGTAACAATAATTCTAAAACTGTTCCTACGACAACACAATGTGTTGCGTCAAGAACCAGGTATGGTTTTTTTTTTTTTTGAAGGTAATATTTATTTAAATATTTATACCTAATAACGAATAAAAATAACTATCTATTATACAGAAAAAAGCGTGGAACGGTAACAGTCGTTGAAGGACCAGTGATATGCATAGGTGACTTTGACGATGGCTACAATATACCACCGCCAAAAGCGCCAAGAGAAATTACTCTTGATGACGACGATGACGATGTTGTAGGTTAAATATCTTAGCATTTATCGACTTAACAAATGAAGCTCTATTTTTACTTTGAGAAGTGCCTATAAAAGTGTTTTGTTATTATTATTTTTTTTTTTTAGATAATTAACGAAAAAAAAGATGAAGAAGATATTCCTATGGATGTGCTCAATCGAATTGTGAATGTTAAAGTTTATTGGCGGAAGAGTCAGACTCATCGATTTCCTCTTAGAATGGTAAAATATGGGTGCATTTTTTGTTGAGTGAAAATACGAATTTGTTTCATTTAGTTTCAGTCACTTGAGAGTATATTTGAACACTTTGCAAAGTTGGAAGATATAAAGACATCGCATGTGCGTTTAGAATTGCACAACAAACCAGTGTTACCATCGGATACACCACATTCTATAAACTATAAAATCTACGATTTCATTGGTAATGGTTTTTTTCAAGTTCATGTAATTCTTTGGCTATAATTTACATTCATTAGTATTTTTTTCTTCGACTATACTGCAGATGAACTGAAATGATTTTTATCCGACGTTCTATAACTCAATATTCTCTTCTAATGTATTAAATCTAATTATTAATATCAACTAAATCTTAAAATTAATGAACTGATGTAAAAAAAAATACCTGATATAAACTGATAGTGTTTTAAATTACTTCATGAGATATTCTAAATACTCCACGGTACAGTTTCTAATATTATGCTCAACATTTATATAATTTTATAAATGATAGTACAACATAATTTCATATTATATTTGTTGTTATCTGATAACCTATAAAAACTAATTTGTAGTTGTTGAAAAAAAATATTTCCTTAGCATTATTTAACATGTAATACAATTTAGTTATTGGAGAAAATATAAGGTCTGAAAACAAAAGTGGTTAAAACAATTTGAACAACTTCTTTACGTTCAAAAAAATTGTAAAAACGTTCATGAATTCATTCTTTCTAAAGACTGCCAAAAATTGATGGTCACTTATTTCACTTAACTTTAAAAAATTTAATTCATAGCAATGACAAATCATAACATCAAACATTTAAAACTAGTGCTGTTAAAATGTAAAAATATAAATTAATAATTATACATAATGTATTACTATTTTTTTTTTCATTTGTCTTATGATTAACCTTTACAATCGATATTCAAATAAAATTACCCTAAAATTATGTATGTTTAGGTCAACTATAAGTACTTCCAATAATATTTTTTTTGCATTTGATATTAATATAGGTAATTGTAATTTTTTACTTACAAAATTCTAACTTAAAATGAATCAAAATTGAAGATGAAATAAGGCACTTAAAAAGCCTTTTTTGATAATTAATAATAAGATTTTGTTTTAGAAAATTACTAAGTTATTAATTTTATCGATTTTAGTAGGATGTCACTTGATCAATACAATTTTTATTGTAAAATGTCATATTTTATCTTAAGGAATCGTTTTATAAATTGTAAACAATTTATAAATTGATTAGAGTCAAGTTAAAATATTTTTCATAAAAAACTAAAATTTCTTATGTTTACCAAATGCAAAAAAAAAAAATTATTTGAAATTATTGTTATTTCATACTTTCATTTTTTTTGTTTGTTTAAATGTTAGATGGCGATATAGAATTTTATAAAAGTATAGCAGAAAGGGCTGCCGAAGAAAAAGAAAAAGATGAAGAACCGACTGACAATGATGATGATGACGACGTAGAATTTAGTATTAGGCAAAAAGACGTGAAGCGCCCAATTTTAATGAGTATGAAGAAGTCAGATAAAATGATTATTTTATACATAAAATTATCTGAGAAGTTAGGTTTTGACATAAACTCGTTTACGCTGGAATTTGATGGAGATAAAATTAAGAAGACTGATACAATAGAAAGTTTAGATCTCGAGGGAGGCGAGTGTTTCGAACTATTCCAAAAATCAAAAAAATAATGGTGTGGTGTCAATAATGCCATAACATTTTATTAAATTTATGTAGTTTTATTGATTAACAAGTATACAGATTTTAATTATTAGTGTTGAAGAGTTTAAACTGCTAGTTGAAAGATAATTCTGTTATTGAATTTACAATGTATTTCAACATTTTATCCATTTTTATCAATTATAGTAATTATTTATATAGCAACAACATTTAATATTATATAGTACTATTATAATTTATGTATAAGTCATTTTTCAATAGTATTTTAAGTCTAAAGTTACGATCACATGTGTAACAAAATAATATTTTTTAAATTTTACTTTTATTATTTATATTTGTACATTACATATATTCCTCATAGGTTAAGTACAATATTATAATATATAAGTTTAACTATCTTCTTTAAAAAAAATGTATACAATTTTTCTGTTTTTTTATTTTATTTCATGTAAACAAATTACCACAACCACCAGTAAAAATTGTTGAGTCATTAGGCAATATGTTTTTGACGATTCTTAGAAAGTATGAAATATGTATTCTGCATTTTTTTTTTTTAATTGGAACTGTATAGAAAATAAAATGTATTCCTGATGTCACTGTGTACCACAGTATTTAAATTATAACAGACTCGAAACTTGTAGAATAACGAATGTTATTTTTATGTTCAAGATTATATTCTAATTGTACAATATGCATGTGTGTGTTTAAGAAAGTATTTTTAAAACTAATAAGGAAAATAAAAACATTAAATTATAATAAATTTAATTTGAAAATGAGAGCTTAGGTGATATCAATTTATTTTAAACAAATAAAAAATATGAATAGTAGTTTAAAAAAAAAACCTGTTTTCAAAATATGTCGCTTAAGACGTTTTGTTAGCATGAAATTTTTTTAAGTGATTTTTTACAGTGCAAACTGAAATGTAACTGAGTTTTTCTATTTTATTTAAGATTATCTTGAACTGAACACGGTTGTTTCTAACAATCACGTTATTAAAAAAAAAATGATCAGCGCTATTTTAATTAAAACAAAACACGTTGAAAATATAAAAAACCTAGTTTATTAAACTCTGAACGGTTGTACATTTTAAACAAAACTTAACCTTTAGCTCAAAATATAGCATGGATTTTCGATTTAGTGCAAGTATTCTTGTAAAAAATAATGCATTTTGGTCCTTGTATTAACATTTCTTTAAGTAATTTTAAAAAAATTTCATTTTGCAAAAAATTCAAATTCATTATTATTTACAATGGTTGTTTTTCTTCAAAATGTATGTTTTTATTATTCTGAATCTGATAGTGCAATCAAACTAATAGAAAAGTAATAGAAAAAAACTAACTCTTTTTAATTAAAAAAATTTCGAAGAAATCGGAAGTTATCTAGCATGATTACCTAATTCACAAAGTAACAAACATTTTTTTTGTACCTACTCTTAATTTTTATAAACTTTTTTTACTTTTTAATCCGTCCGGATCAAAAAATATTGTTAAACCTTTTTTTTCATTTCAACCCAATTTTCGGTTTTTTTCAATCTGACCTAACTCGTTTTGACCAAGCACCCAAATAATATTATTAGTGAACAGGTGTTCTAATTCCCTAGTGTAAAATATGATGCCCTCAGTCCTTGTCCCTCGGAATACTTAATCTTGTTTTTAATTATTTATATCAGTGTTTTTGAGAAATGACCATAGAGGAATCGCTTTCAATTTACTTCTCTAAACATAGGTAATTTATACCTAAGTCTTAGGCTTAGGCTTGTTTATTGAATTGTTCGTGAATACCATACTAAGACAGATTTTATATATTAGTAAAGAACACTTTATAATGTATGAATATTGTGTGTGTATAATTTTATAAAAATAAATATATTCAGGCGTGGACTTTATTACTATACTTATTAATTATTTTTAGATAATAGGTACATTTAAGGTACCTATGTTAGATTTGATTTTTTTTTAAATAGCTGTAATTTGTTTGTTTGATAATATGTATTTTTGAGAAAATATTGTTTTCCTTAAATTATGTTATTTGTGTTTAAACTCAAATTTCATCCTAAACGGCGCGATTCTAAGTAACTTAATTATGCTATGTTGTCAGTTAGTTCGACTGAGATAGGAAGTCCGGTGTCGCGTTCTCTTTGAGTAGGTACAATAAATAAGAAGAAGTTACTAAAAAAAAAAGTCCCTTGAGGTGCCCTCTCCAACACACCCGCTAGTTGCGCCACTGTAATATTGTGAAAAATAAGGTTAAAGGTTGACCGCCGATGAACTACGAGTGTAGTATTTGTTTTTTTCGGGGTTCTTGCTATTTGTATTTTAAATGTAAACAATATGGTATGAGTTCCGAAAAAAATAGCATTCCATCGAGTAGGTATGCTTGTACGACTTATGAGAAAATATCTGGGTTATATAACATGTTGCGCGCGACAAAAATATAAATAATATTATGTAAACGGTATAACACATAATAGTATTTTGAATTTTGGCGGGCAAAACGGCGCGGCAGCGGCGGCCGTCGAGGTGACCGTACGACTGACGCCACCTAGCGGCGGTCAGCCGAACCATTGGCGGCCCTTCGCATCCAGTTTGTACACGTCGACCGTGCGAAACGTTCCGCGCCGACGGTCCGGGTAAACCTTCGCCCCTGTGTAAACGGACGGCCCAGTGTTGATTGTGTACGTTTCAGCGACAACAGTAATCAACAAAAAACCATTGATTCCGCGTAGAGTGCGCACACGACAATACTATATATATATATATATATATATATATATACTGTAACAATAATACATATATATATTATTATTTTATTATATATACAATATTTGTGTGTACATATTATACGTACGGTTTACAATCGAAATAATATAAAATATAATAATAATAAGATAATCGCGGCCGTTTGTTGTTGTTTGTATGTTTATTTATTTAATTTTTTTTTTTCTGCTACACTAATCATTCAAAACCCGTACGAAACGTTTTTTTCTTCAGTGATGACGACAACCACAACGATGATAATAAAATGCCAAATATTGTTATAAGAATGTTTCGTTATTCATTATTATTATTATTATGATTAACGTTTGCGATTGGTCCGTTCCGTCTAAACAGCAGCAGCAGCAGCTTTCCCGTCGTTCTGGTTTCGCCGCCGCCACCGCCACCGCCGCCGCCGTCGTCGTCGTCGTCGTCGCAACAGCCAACGTCGCCGGATTCCGCCGTTCACGATAATAAATAAATAAATACAAATAATAATAACAATAATATATATATATAAATATATATATATATATATATATATATATAATATTAACAATGTGTGCAACGAGTATTCGTAAAACGCGCGCGTTTTGATAACAATTGGCGTTTATTTATATGTATTTTTTTTTTTTCACTTTTTCCCAACAACTTTTGTGTTTTGATTTTTCGGTCGGCGGGAAAAATATCGTCGACGCTGCTTTGTGTGTGTGTGTGCGCGTGTATTTATGTTGTTTTTTTTCGCACGGTGCGTGTAATGAAGGGAACGGCCGTCGACAATCTGTATAATAGTTTGTCAGTGTATCAATTTCAGCCGCCGTCGACGCGACCCCGCAGCAACGACCAACGGCCGCCGCCGTCGTCGCACGTCCATCAGATGCGCTTGTGTTAGCAGTGAAAATTCCCGACAACCGCCGCCGCTCAATGTACAGACCAACGCACAATACCAATCTGTGAGTACAAATTGCATATTAGGTGCATCCCCCCTCGCCGCGCCCATTCGAATTTACCTGTGTCCCCCCGAAATGTGCACACTTGTACGTTAACACTAAAACAATAGGTTTACACTACCGACAACGGTCAGGTGTAACTCACTATCGAAACGCTGTGTGATCGATAAACACCGGACTGAAGGGTCCGTAGCTTCTCATCGTAGACAGGTGTACCGCAAAACGAGCATCGCGTCTCAAACCAATAGGCATACTCCAATCGAGACTTACCCTAGAAATGTTTGCTATCGCCCTCGATTACGACAAAATTTCAGTCATGTCAATTCGCTCGAGTTATTCGTACGCAATGACCGTCAGACCAATTGACCTACATAGTTCGATTCTCTTTACGTTTTGTCTGTTTATCAAAATATGAGATGGCAACTTATAAATATAGATTTCTAGTCATTCAGATGTACACAATAATTTTTTGTAGATATTCTAATGAAAAGTATTCCTACCTAGTTTTATGAAAAACAAGTACAATATTTGGTTTTTTTTTTATTAACATTGCACTTAACTAGCAAGGTTTATCTGTTTTTGTATGTTTCGCATTTTAAAAGTCGGAAATCATAAATAAAATTGGACTACACGAAAAGTTAGGAATTTAAGCGTGGTATGCTTCTTAAGAATATAAAACACATTCACAACATATTAAAAACGTACGTGTTTATAATTTCAGTCTTCAAATTAGTTTTAAACAAAAATGTCATTCAAGTTTTTCCTTTTTGCTTTGTAAACCAATACATTTGTATTATTTATGTAGTGTACGTATACAAATTTATGGTGTAATTATGCTCGATAAACTATGTTGCAATCACTTAATTCTATTTTCTATGCTTGTTATAAATGCCACATAAAAGGTAAAACTGTTATACTTGTTTGTGGCATATTGTTGTAAGCAATTTAATTAAGTTTGTTACATTTTATGTAGTACCTATTTAATTTGGGGGAATACTTAAACAAATATTTAAATGACCATTGATAAGAGATAGGTCTAACATATAAAAGTAATTAAATTAGGTAGGTATTCTTAAATTGTATGATAACTAAAATACAATATAAATTTGATTCATTAAGACTAAATTTCAAATTGGCAAACTTATATTGCATATATTTGCATATTTGACACTTTTAAACATATATTTGCCTAGCATACTTGTAAGTATAATTATTAAAAATGTTCCATTTTTTTTTATTACCTTTATATGTGTTTACGAGTGTGAGCTCAAAAAAAATATACACAACAAGAGAAAAAGTATTAAACAAAAATTCTGGTTATATAATATTGCCCAACATTTTTAAAAAAATCACCATTGTTCTTTTAAATTAGAAAACATTACTAAAATAATTTTAATTGAATGTTATCTTGTACAAGAGTAATAGTACTCTTTTAAATAATTAACCTTTGTAAAATGTTATTTATATATTCAAGTCAGCTATTTAAAAACTTGGCTAAACTCAATTAAGGCATGTAATTGCATATTTTGATATTAAGAAATACATATTTTAATACATTTATGGTAATTAACATCCGAGAACTAATGATAACATTATTGAGCCGCTTAATACTTTGTTTTTACTACTTATTTTGCTAATCATTTTTTTGATAAGTGGATAGTTGTACATTGATTGTAGATTTTTCTTTTTAGGTTACATACTTTTTTTGTATACATATTTTAAAATAAAATTATTGTGTATTATTTTTTGGGTAAAATGTTTGTTAATAATCTTAATAGCTACAATGTTTACATCCTAGCGTTTACATAATTAGTATTTACGGATTAATACAATCAAACTCTGATAAGATTTTTTTTGATAAGACAACAATGGTGTCGAAAAGAAATGAATTGAGTAGATGATAATTCAACATACATACATTTATTCCATTTGATAGCTTGTGTTTGAAATGTACTCAATAGAATTTTTTGGACTTTAATACAATAATATTTGTCAATGTCTCATATAGATTATTTGCTGATAAAGGTACGCACGGGTCATGATAAATATCTTTATAGTTTCCGATAACAATATAACGTATTGTTTTGTGTATAATATATTCTCATTCTTGGACTAGGTAGATTTATAAATTAAATTCATACCAACACTTCAGTGCCAACTGAAAGTAACATTTTTGAATCTCATAATTCTGTTTTTTAAGATTAGAACAAAATGTACATTGTTTATAAATTAAGTTATTTACTAATTAATATAATATTTTTTTTTGTATAAGATTAATAATAATATTTTCTTATATTTTTTTTTTGTGTAGGCAATATGACTTGAAAGTGGGCTATAATGATAATCATCAAAGAACCATGGCAATGAACGGGGAAATTCCTAGCGTGCCTATAACGACATTGGCAGGCATATCAAGTCTAACAGACAGTAAGTAATATTTTTCTACGCCTATTAAGTTTTAGAAGCCAATAATATATTAACAGGCATATTAAAACAATACGTACTTCTAAAAACAAAGTAAATTCTGTTAAAATAACGATTAAACTAACAAATTTGACCTTTATACTAATCTTTGTGTTATAATATTACTGTTTTTATTAAAAATAAAATATTAATGTTTAGTACCATTTATAATTCAAAAGAATATTTAAGTGTTTCAGTGCGTTCCATTAAAATTTACTTATAGTAATTTCTTCCTGTATAAATATTAATTTAAAAAAAATCAAATTAACAACGAATGATGCAATCGTACACTAAAATTACACAAATTTCATATGTTAATTTATTTCATACATTTAAAATAAAAATATTAAATATAGTTAATAACTAGTATAAAACAATTATTTTAGTCATAGAGTTTTGTTTAAGACTCTATGTCAAAAAGTAAAAACTGACAAGTTTATAGATACACATTATATAACTACTTGGAAACTTATATTACCCATTAATAATTCTAATGTGAAAAATAAATCCGTTTTCATGAAACCTATTGCATTTTATGAAACACACCAACTGTAATTAAACAGTGATAAGTATTTTATTATAAAAAAAAAAAAAATTGAATAAAAAAGTTATATTTTTTTTTTTTGTTAACTTACAATGTAACCTTTTTGTTTTTTACTATCATAAAATCACCTCAATAGTTGTAATATGTTATTTTATTCATTTTTTTTCTTCTTTCGTTTTTTTTGCAGTGTTGCCTGAAATGCCTTTGCCGTCTCCGATACCTCAGACCTTAGGTAATAAATCCCTGTTGTTTCATCCGCGTGTGGCCGAAGAAGCAGATATATTACTCAGCTTACGCGACGATGGCCTCGTACCCCAACTAATTCAGTCGTTAATTAATACCTCGTCAGATCATATGTGAGTTATAGAGTAATAATATTAAAAAAAAAAAAATATATATATATATATATGATTTATGTTTAAATTAATTTTTTCCACTTGTTCTAGACAATTGAAAGACAAGTACATGTATACAGAGCACTATGGCAATCAACAAAATATACCCGAACTCTTGAGAGCTATACTACAACAAAATGCAAATGTATTTAGAGGACCTATACACAATTCCCAACATCTACAAGGTATATACTTTATTTGCATAAATAGAAATGTGTTATCGGGATTTAAAAAAAAGGCATAAACAAAATTGGTACAAAATTAACTTGGAAAAAAAATTGGAATCATCGGAAAAAAAAATTTTTATCGGTAAAATTCTGTACATACTTATGAAAAAAATTATATATGTATATTATTTTATGATCTTAATTTTGTAAGTACTATATTGGTTTTAATTGAAGTCATTGTTCAGTGTGTGTTCTTGTAAAACAAATTCTCTTATGAAAAAAAAATTACATCAAATTTGACAATAAATGTAATTTCTAATTAGAATTTAATTACTAGTGGAAATTAGTACTAGAATCTGTTTTTTTTAAACCTAATTACAATTCTAATATTCTTTGTAGCTTTACTTGATCACTACATTTCCTGTTTTTAAAAAAAAAATTGTTCATGCATTTACAAGATTTTACTGAATATCGAATGTCCCTATAAATAGCTCAATGGCATTCAATTACAAATTACATCTCAAAGAATTGAAATTCAAAATTTTGTTTTGCATATTTCCGAGTTTACTAATATTTTTTAAATACATTTTTAGAATTTACTGCATTTCAATTTTGTTTAACTATAAGTTCCAATGAAATAATGATAATATAAGGGACATTTTTTTTTAGAAAATGGAGTATTATAGTAAAGTCTATTTAATATTATCAGATAAAAAAAAAGTTAAAAATTATTTTGTTAGTGTAATTTGGTACATTTGGTTTTTTTTTTTATAATTGTTAATTCAATTTTTATATTTAATAAAAAAATATAATATACATGGTGTGAACAAATTTTTTTTAAGACTGGTTACAATTATTGTCGACGTATTACAAAATTAAATTTATTTGAACTAAATATATTACTTGTAGGAGGAGGCTGTACAATTTTCAGTTTTAATTCAATTGATTGACTAGAAGTTGACCCTTCATCTAATCCCTTTGTGTTAACACTACTCAAACAAGGTTATTTTTATTTAGAAACATGAAGAGGGATATGTGTAATATGCATATCGTCAGCCCTATTCATAATTGTCCATAACTCCAAAACGACTGCTCTTTAGGACAGTCAAAATATATTATTTATTAGTTAAACAGTGTCACAGAAACACATTTAATTAAATATACCAATTAAAATGTTATTGACTATGATATTTAGCTTTAAGACAATAAATAATTATTTTTTATTTACTCATTTACGTATAATTGAAAATAATTATTTCAGATCCAGATATTGCAGCAAAAACACAACATGAAATGAATATTATTAATAGCATTGCATCAGGGTTATCGAAACAACATCAAGAAATGCAGCAACAACACCAGCAGCAGCAAATGCAGCAGCAGCAGCATCTGCAACAGCATCAGCATCACCAACAACAACACCATCACGACTTACTGGAGCACTCGCAAATCCTTAATCAATTGCAGCCGCACCATCAGCCTGTAATCGTAAAGTCGCCTGCTTCTAAACTCCCTAGAATAACCATTGATAGCGATGGTAACGCTTGTTTTAAAACTATTCATACTTAATAGTTGAATATAATAATTACAAAAATCATTTGCACATTTTCAGCAGAAAAAATGTTAGCGGACGTTGGTATTTCCGAAAGTGATAATGCCAGTGTTCAAAAGTTGGAACATGAATTTTCTCAAATAACGAATAACTATGACGTATTTATGAATCAACCGACTATTACGTTAACCCGACTAGATCTCAATGAACATGGTATAATTTATTATATTAATAAAAATAAAATATTTATTAATTACTCAATTTTATTTTTCCAATTTTTTTAGTTATTAGTAAAGAGACTTTACTCAATATGGATGAATTAACAGAAGAAAACGATTTCGGATTATCCTTCCCCGATAAAATATCAAACATTAATCAAGGTAAATATTAACAATATTTAGTTTAGACAATATTTTACATACAATGAATAATGTATACTAACAACAATGTATTGCTAAAATATTAGATTAATTTTTTTAAATTGAAAATTGTATTTTATAGACAAAAGATCCGTATTAAGTAAAGAAGAAAATGATGTTGATTATAGCGATTCGTTAACGGAAAGAATCAAAAGAAGAAAAAGAATTGCTCAACAATCAGACGATAAAAATAATGTTGACGAAAGTAATTTAATTAATTTTTAAAAACAATTTCATTTTGCTTCATGCTAATTGGTGTTTCTTTTGATTGTTATTAGACGAATATACGATAAAGCCAAAAATACGAAAAATAGAAAGAAAACTCGTACCCATTATAGAAAAGTTATCTGTAGAAGAACTAATGGAAACCAATACATATCAGAGGTTTAATAAATGCATAGAAAAAGTTTTCGAAAGTACAGAAGAGGGCGATAATATATTAGATTTTGGTAATTATATTGCTAATATTAATATGGGTATTTTAATCAAATAATATTTACATTTTTTAAACTTAATTTCAATTGTGGGAAATTTAATTTTAAAGGTGAAGATGATGCGCCTCCAGAATCTTTGATACCGAAATATGTGTTGCAAGATCTCTGTAGCGAATCGGCTAAACTTAAAACATTAGGCGCTATGGAATCGATACCGTCCAACAAAATAATTCGTTTGTTGAGTATATTGGAGAAAAACATTAGAGACGGCGTCAAAGTTTCACCAATTGCTGATCCGGTTTGTTATACAATACTTTTTTTGCCTTATTAAACATTTTTATAACAGAATAATAACAATTGTTTGTATTCGTATTATATAGGAAGACGACGAGTGTGAAAGAAAACTATGGATGGAACTGGCCATGGAAAGAGTGATGCGTGCAGTTGACGCATCATTGACTACTCTTTACGTTTTGACTTCGCCAAAAATGCAAAAGAAAGTCTACTTGGAAGATGTCATCGACAGAGTGGTCATGTTTACTAAATATCAATTGCACAATACAATATACCCAGCGTTTGACCCGGTTTACAGGTACGTGTTTAATGTTAACTTCGTAATCATTATGAAGTTGTTTGACGTGCTTTTATTATGAAATTATAGGATACAGAAAAGTAAAGACAGCTACGCGGGAAGCGCTCGAAAAAAACGAGCACATCCAAAAGAAGTCCGTGACAAAAATGTGTTATCGTTGTACACAAAATTGGCCGAAGTAGTTTCTCTATTAGCCGAGCTTTTGCAAATACAGACCCTAACCGACACGGCTGTTCTTCATACATCCTCAATGGCGGTTTCCCCATTCTTTGTTGAAGAAATAAGTGAACTCCAGTTATCTGCGTTAAAACTCGTTACAACGGTAAAAATATATATTGAGATGTTTTTTTTTTGAGATTTTAATAAATAAAAAAGTTGGAACATTGTTAACGTGTAATACATTGTTATCGTTTGACAGATATTTACTAAATACGACAAACACAGGAAACTACTCTTGGACGATATACTTGCCTCTATGGCAAGGCTACCAAGTTCAAAGCGTAGTTTAAAATCGTATAGGATAAGCTCAGAAGAATATATTCAAATGTTGTCGGCTCTTGTCTTACAACTCATCCAATGCGTGGTCGTGTTGCCATCAAATTTGGCCGACAAACAGTGCAACGTAAGTTATTTAACTTTGATATACAAAGACGACTGTTCAATTTTATTAACATTCTTTGTTTTTATTTTTTTTCTAAAAGCATGATCCAGATACGTTGATTGTTAACAAATTCAAAACCGCTCGTACGACAGCGTCCAATTTCTTGCATGTATTTTTGTCGAAATGCAGCAGCAAAAACGAAGAAATTGATTACCGTCCAATATTCGAAAATTTCATCCAAGATCTGTTGACTACCGTGAACAAACCTGAATGGCCTGCATCTGAACTCTTACTGAGTGTACTCGGAAGGTTGCTCGTCACCAATTTTGTCAACAAAAATCTTGACATGTCCCTGAGAGTTGCGTCTCTTGATTATCTGGGTGTAGTAGCTGCGAGACTTCGAAAGGACTCGGTTACGTCTCATCTTCGATTAAAAACAATTGACAGTATAATCATGGACATCAGGACGGAAGAACTTAAAGACGAAGACGGCAATTTAATTGTATGAATTACATTTATAAATTTTTTTTTTTGTTCTAATAAAACTAATGTTGGAATTTTCTCTTTTGCAGGAAGAACCTCAGGAAGTAAAAAATGACGAAGAGAGGACGCAGTTTTTGCAAAGAGTACTCCTGGATTATCTGGCCATAAGGAGTTTATCGGAACCAGCGTTAAGGCACGCTAGGCATTTTTATTTGGCTCAATGGTACCAAGATAATACAGACGCCGGTAAATCGTCATCAAATTCCTTGTCGAAAAGAAAAAAGAAAAATTCCAGGAAAAAATTTGGTAAGTATTGGTTGTGTTGTAGTCATTTTTTTCATCAATGACTTCATATTTGGTCTAACTTGAAATTTAAGGTTCAGACGATGAAGATGGTGGCGATACAAGCGATTCCGGCAACGAAATTGAGGCCCAAAAAGATGAACACAAAGCCGCAGAAAATGCTAAAGTTTGCGAGTTGAGAAAAGAGTACTTACTGACCAAAATAAATCCCTACGATGATCAATCGACACAAGTCATGCAGACGTACATTGATTACGATAGTGCTGAGCTAGTGGCCAGGTATTTGGCATCGAAAAGACCATTTTCCCAAAGTTTTGACACATACCTAAAACATGTAAGTGACTAAATTTAAAATTACATTATAGTTATAATTTAACACTAATTATCACCTTCATTATAGATCATTAAGGTTTTGACGGAGACCTCGGTGAACATACGAACAAAAGCAATGAAATGTTTGACCATGATCGTTGAAGTCGATCCCGGCGTACTAGGATTAAAAGAAATGCATCTGGGCGTTAGCCATTCCTTCCTGGATCACTCGACATCGGTCAGAGAAGCGGCTGTCGACCTCGTTGGCAAGTTTGTTCTCAGTAGACCGGAGCTAATTGACAAGTATTATGACAAGTTATCCGAACGAATTTTGGACACCGGTGTCAGTGTACGAAAGCGAGTGATCAAAATAATGAAAGACATATGCACTGAGTGTCCGGACTACCCAAAAATTCCCGAGATATGCGTGAAAATGATCCGGCGAGTAAACGATGAAGACGGCATCAAGAAGCTGGTCATGGAGGTGTTCCAGAACATGTGGTTCACTCCCGTACGGGAAAAACCGACGCTCGATACGAAAGGCCTGTTGCGTAAGGTGTTGAATATCACCGATGTGGTGGCCGCTTCCAAAGACTTGGGGTTGGAATGGTTCGAACAGCTGCTGTTGAGTTTATTCAAGCCTAAAGAAGACAAAGACGACGTGGCCAAGGTTGTGACTGAACCTCCAAAAGCCTTGCTTACCGCTTGCAAGCAGATAGTTGATTGTTTGGTAGAGAACGTCGTGACTTTGGACGGCGGCGGAGGAGGAACATCGCAGCAGCTCGTAGCCTGTCTGACTACGCTGTACTTATTTGCCAAAATTCGTCCTCAGCTTTTAGCAAATCATTCTCTCACCCTTCAACCTTATTTGAGTTTGAAATGTCAGGTAAATAACATTACTAAGCTGTTAAGAAATGTATAAAATTTAAACGTTTATTATAATATGCTAAAATATTGAACCATTTTTTCTCCTTATAGACCCAAGGAGATTATCAAATAATCAGTTGCGTTGCCCGAACACTAGAACTGGTTGTACCTCTAATCGAACATCCCAGTGAAATATTTTTGTCACAGCTTGAAGAGGACGCAGTCAAGCTCATAATGAAACACGACCAAACCGTTATTTTGAGTTGTATATCTTGTCTCGGGTCTGTCGTTAATAATGTGACCAGAAATTTCAAGCTAATAAGAGATTGCTTCGGAATCTATTACAGTGAGTTTTTTTATTTAGGTCAAACATATTACCCTATAAGGATGATAATAATTCGACTTTTTATTTGTGTAGAATATTTGGGTAATTTCCAAAAGTTGCATCAAGACCAACAAACAAATCCTCAAGCATTGATACCGTTGAGACCAATTTTTCGTCGATCCATCTACATTGTCGGTTTGATGTTGAGGTTTTTCGATTTCTCCGAAAAGGAAGTCTACGGTGACACTTATCCCGTAAGCAATTTTAAAAGTTTTTTTTTCTAAATTATTGAGAAAAGGAGAAATCTGTATTAGGATTATAACCTAATGCAAATTATTTATCGGGACATTACAGGAAAACATCAAAGACCTCGTATACGATATGATGTCCTATTTTATGCATGCCAGAGAAGAAGACACCAAATTGTTTGCTCTAAAGGCGATTGGATCGATTTGCATAAGGCATTACGATTTCATGTTGTGTCAAGATTTAATGAATGTTTACCTTGAAATCCTGTCCAACGACAACGCTTCGACCACAATGAAAACTCAAGTAAGTTTGTGAAACACAAATTTATAATTTTCTTTTTTTTGTCATCTGAGCAAATAAATTTAATGCAATTTTTTATTTATAGATTTTGAACAATATCGAAGTGTATCTGGAAGAAGAAGAAAAACGAATGATTAAACAGGATTTAGAATGTAAAGACAACATTCATTATATTTAATAAATGAAGACATGTAGAATTTGTATAGACCGTGATGTTTATTTTTATAGGGTCGAAAATGTCAAAAAAAGAAAATCTTAAAGAGATGGGCGATGTTTCTTCCGGAATGGCCAGTACCGTAATTCAGTTGTATTTGAAAGGGATATTAAATTCTTTTTTGCACACTGGAGTCCAAGTACGGCAAGCCGTGCTCAAAGTGATACAACTGATTTTAGCACAAGGTCTTGTGCATCCTGTCCAGGTATTTACAGTTGATCCGATATTCATTAGTCTTACACAAAAACAATAGCACTTGTAGTAATTGTGTATACACTTTGATTGTCTCTAGATAGTGCCTTATTTGATCTGTATGAGTACCGACTTGGAAAAGACAGTCAGCGGCCGTGCCGACAAACACTTACAGGAGATCGAAAAGAAATATCCTGGTTTCATTCACATGGGCGCTCAAAGCGGCATCAAATTGTCTTTCCAGCTACAAAGTATCGTCCAGCCCAACGGAGAAATGGTCCGTGGTTATCGGCTGAAAGACAATGATACTATTCCCAGTGCGTTGAACGGATGCCTTTACTCTATACTCCGAACGAAACAACAGAGGAGAGCTTTGGTTCTGTCCATTCTAAAACAATTTGAGGATCAAGGGGTACGTGGAAATAATAATTGTTCCTTCTTCGTAGAATCGCTCAACTAACGTAATATTTATTTTTATTTTTAGAAAACTAATTTAGCCCAATTATTGTATTTGGCCGACAACTTGGCGTATTTTCCTTTTCAATCGCAAGACGAACCCCTGTTTATCATACATCACATCAATACAATTATATCCGTTAACGGAACAAATTTACTTCAGACTTTTAGAGAGGTTTGTGTGAGAAAAATAAAATTTGGTAATTGAACATATTGTAAACCGCCGCTTAATTTACAGGGTCTCCTTCCTAATCCTAATGCGCCAGTTCAGCATTATAAACCTGAAGGCGCAGTAGAAGACGAAGACGACGAAGATGAAAACACTCTGTTGGAAAGAGTCCCGGACGACATAAGCGCTCTGCAAGAAGTCCTAATTAAATCTCAAGGTTGTCTCCTGCTTATAGTCTTAAAACAATATCTGAAAACTATTTATGGGATAACAGATTTGTATGTGTTTTTTCATTATTATTAAAGTACTTATTATTATTGGGTTTATAATACACATTTATGACATATTGCTCTTACAGAAAAATCACTCAATACTCTCCGTCGGAATCTAGTAAAATGTACGACAAGAACTTGAGCAGGAAGTCGAATACAAAGTTCAATCCTAAAGCGACGATTCAAAAACTACAAAACGGAATGGAAATCAACACCCACGATTTGGACAAGGCCAAACAAGAATTGATCTCTTACTATTTAGAGGTACGTCGAGAAAATTCCAACAATAAATTAATTTTCTCGCAGCAATTTCTTTCGTCTTTATTTAAAAGGTTTTTTTTTTAATATGCATTTTATTTTGTACAGCTCAAACATTTGATTATAAATCTCGATCCGGACGATGAAGAAAACGAAGATCTGGAAAGAACTCCCAAAAATTTGAAAAGCGTTCCCTCGACTCCAAGCAATCATATCAGTACGCCCCTGCCGCAAACTCCGTCTACACCAAACCATGTAGATTCGTCGAACGTGTCATACGAGTCGCCAGAGTACCAAAAACAAGTAATATATCATTTTCCTAACTAATAAAGAAAATGTTTTCCAAAATTTATTGAACGTTCTTGTAGAGAAAAAAATTCAAAATATTTGTTGCCAATTAATTGTATAAAATGGTCTATTAAAATAGTAAAAGAATTTTATAAGATCAGAATGTGGACATCTGCATTATTTCCTGTATAGTTTTTTTGTGATTTTTAAAATGTGTATACACCTAAATAAAATAATATGAAATATTTAATTGCTATAATTAGTTTTTATTGTTTAATTTATAATTTCCAATATCTACAAGTGTATACATATACTTATTTAATTACTTAAATCAATTATTCTCATAAGAAAAAATAAACGAAATACCTAAAATAAATAACTGAAACATTTTATCTTCTGATGAATGTTTCATGATCACCTATGTTAATGAAACGCTGTGTTGTTTTAGAATAACGTGCAATCAACACCAAAGGTTCCTAAGCTGACGATCATACCGCCAAAGGCTCCGTCTTCCAAACATTCTCATCATTCGCACCGATCGCACAAATCGAAAAAATCCGATCGTCCCAAGAAACACCACCACAAACGGAAGAAGGCCAAGGCCGGCGGCAGTTCCGAAGACAGCGATAACGTCTTCAGCGATCCCGATTTCTTAGTATGATACCAGGTACCTTGTTGTAGTAAATTATTTATTCTGTGGATAGGATTTATTTTGTTGTAAAGGTTTTTTTTTTTTTTGTTGGCAGATGAATTATTTATTTTTTACGGATAATTATTATTATTATTATATAAAAATAACATTATGTTTTAAGTGCTCAATCGACCGCTCTTCGTATGCTAGACGCATACTCGATTACTAAGTATTTTTCTTTTCAATACGAGCACACGTTGTGAGGTCTGATAATCTTAATTTTCTCCTAAAATTATGAAGTTAATTTATTATTTGTATCCAACTCGTTTTAGTTATATAGGTATACATATTTTTATAAATATATTATGTAGGTGTGCATAACAAATTGTAAACTTTTTTTTTTATTATTATTTTTTTTTTTTTTTGATTCGGGAAATCAAATATAAATAGTGTTGTGCCTTATATGTCAGTTAGTTTTTTTTTTTTCGTCATTTGCATCTGAATAATTTTTCAAAGATTTTTTTTTATCGTTATTATTATTAAAAATTATTTTTGTCACTTATTGACGTTTTCTTTACGATCAATAAAAAAACTAGTCAGCCAATTTAGCCGATAGTTGTCGCAAAAAAAATGATTTTTTAAATTTAATTTACAATTTATTAATATTAATTATTGTGTATTCCCTTTAAAAGACTTCCTTTGTATAATATATTATTATCAGCATAATTTTTCTCCTGGGGGGTTATTTTGTGTATTCAGTTTTATTGTATTTTTTTTTTTTTACTTTGAGTTAACGACACAATATGTTTTATCCGCACTAGTTTACTAAATTACGGCTGATGATATAATTTATAAATTACCCAACGCAAACAAATTTCTCACTGTTAAATTATTATTATTATGATTATGATTATACTTAAAGATTTTTTTTCATTCCCATTAAATATTAACATTTTTCGAGTACAATATTTTGCTTTTGGTGCCATATTTTTGCTGAAAATCCATTGTTCAATGTTAAATTTTAGTAAAACATCTCGTGTCCACAGGTCAAAAAAAATAAGATCTAACCGTAGACTAGAGTGTAAAGAAATTGTGGGGTCGTTGAAATAATGATAAAAAATATTTTGTATTTTTTAATTTTGCTGAGTATTCTTATTAAAAATACGCAATTATACAAGTTGATATGTTTATTATGTATTAACTTAACTAAAGTTATTAGAACAAATAATAATTAGTTAATCGTATCGTTCAATTTCGATTGAAGAAGTACACTGCCTATTATATTAAAAAAAAAAAATTAAGTTTATTAATTTTTTGTTTCGTTTAAGCGTTCGAATTTCTGTTGTTAGTTATATTTTGTCGTGCGGACATGATTACGATTACTTAAATGCACACACCTAAGTTTTTTAATGTACTTAGGACGTGACCTATGGCTTGTTTTGTGATTTTCCGAATGTGCAGCGACAGAGACCGATTGCCGTCACAGCTGCTGCTAACTAGAGAAAATAGTTACGTTATAAAATCTATGTATTGTAGGCAGTCGCGGCTTAAAGTTGGCAGAATATTTGTCGTTTAAAAATTAATTTTGTACACAATCGATCAATAGGACTTATTAGTTTACCGGTAAATTTATATTATATTTAGTCTAATACGTAGGATTTGGTCGACGGCTATTTCTTTATGATTTATTTTATTTTGATATTATGTCGGTTATTACCTTGGGAAGTTATGTTAACGCTTTATGTTTTTGAATTTTTCACCGTGTCATAAAGTTGATGAAAACAATTTCGACCAATGACTCGACAAACAAATTACGGTTAGAAAGTAATATTATGAATTATGTTTACCCTTAAAAATTACTTCCATTTTATATTATGTGTTAGTGTGTTATTTCGAAAGCGATTTTTTTTTTTTTTTATAATTGGCAACTCATTACTTGTATTCCAATATCTTTAAATTAAATACTTAAGCACTACTATTAAATATTAATTATGTCCATTGAGAAATTTAAAAAAAAATGTGTCATCAACTTGGCACTAGCTGTTGTTTCGTTTGTTGCAATGTATTCTTGTATAATTTTACTGTGTATACATAATAATAATATAAAGATGTATATATATATATATATATAAATTTAATTCATATTTTTTTTTGTTTTTCATAAATTAATAAATTAATTGTAATCTGAATTTTAAAACATCTAAATATTACGACTATTTTTTTAGCAATAATGTAATTTTTTCTATTATTAATTATTATTGTGTAATAAATTTAGATGTATTGTTTTATAAAAATTGATTGAACTGTAAAAAGTGTAAGTTATCACCAAAAGAAAAATTAAATTATTATATTTTAATAATTAAAATTAATTATTATAAGTGGTTCTTTTTTTTATTACTCGTATTAAAACAGTTGGTTTGTTGTTGCGATTAGCTTTTCGACAGAACATGTTTGTTAGAAGCACACTATGGAGTCTGGATAACTAAAAAAAATAGTACCTTAATTGTTATTATTCGTAACGAGTACATACACATAGGGGAATTATTTTAATTGAGTAACATGGGGGGACTTTGATTAACGTTTGGCATAAACTAATCCTTCTAAATTGTTTTGAATTAGGTACTATTATTATTGTGTTTTATCAAACTAATATTATGTAGGGAACCATGTTGTATTCATTAAATTTTTCTATACGAATCTTATACACTTAGATCTATAATCTATTATTTTCTTACCTTATAGTTTTATAGGTTGTACTTCCCTTTCGTCTCATCAAATTGTATATATTATAGTTACAGTCTGGATCTACCTAAATCCCTAAAACTGCTTGAAAAAGTGGAATTAAAAAAAAATGTCTTATTTTTTCTAGGTAAAAAGGGATTTGAGATATTTTTTTGGGTCGTCAACGTTTATCGGTAGTACTATGTATAAAGAACGTTCCATACAAATTTGGGACTAACTTGACTATTATAAAAAAATTATAGAGCATGGAAAATTTTTGTTGAAAAATATGTACATTTTTTGGGTGTTTTTCTCATTTTTGAAAGGGAAGGGGTAGATATTTTTAATTTTTAGCTTAGTGAAGTATATTTCAGGTAAGATTTATGATCTATTGAGATGCTACACGAAGAAATCGGTTCAGCGGTTTAAAGATATCGTCGGTTCAGACACGAAAAATAAAAACGCATCATTGTAAAAAGAATACCTTCTCAGCTCCTCATCGAAGCCAAAAGTCCAACAAAAATATGTAGGCTAATTGACAAATTTACATAGTTTGTAATTTCAGATTTATTTAAATGTGTCTCGTGTTGTTCCGTCATTTGTGTGTATTGGACGGTACACTCCATAGCCTATGACTCTGTATAATCTTGTTAAAACTGTGCCTAGTAGTTTATAGTTCATAATATATTAAATGTACTATTATTATAATGTATTTAACCACTTTAGTTGGCATCGAATGACAATTTTCAAATGATTTTAATAATTGGTAATATAGGAGTCGGGTGTACAAGAGGTAGTTTGGGAGTTCAAGCAGCAAGTCGTCAACGGTTGTGTATATTTTATTTTTGTTCTAAATGTGTTTTATTTAATCGTGGTTCTAACAATTTAATGTTGTTTTTTTTTCTTCAAATTACCTATGTAAAGCCACTAATATTGAGTAGCTACAATTTATAGATTTTGGTACTGTATCTTAAATACTTTAATCATTTTTAGTTTCAATGAGATTTATTTCTCCTATCATGCTCCCAGCATACTTTATAAACAAGTAAGACCTATGTGACGTCCAAGTGTTTTATTCAATTCACCTACTATTATTACTCTATTTTGTCGGTTTCTCTAGGAAATAAGTAAATCTCAAGTTTGATAAACATAATATTTTGGTTTTATAATGCAACATGCATTTAGTATAATTAAATTAATGTAAGATTTTACCATTAAATTCAAATGTTCCCATTATACTACCTATTCAATAAGTAGACTTGCTAGAACATATTTCCTATTTGTCATGAAATCGAGTGGTTGAAATATTGTTTCTATAATTAAAGTCTAATATCATAACCTTCAAATAATTTTTACCCCTATCTATTCGATCTGGTTATTTAACTTGATATCCGTATGGAATAGCTACAATAGATTAAACAAATTAAACGTTCGAAATTGATATTTTTATTAATTGATATTTTTATTATTATAAAAAAAGACATATTGTATATTATAGACGTTTTTTTTTTTTGTATAGTTTTAAATGATTATAACGACGTGAGGGAAAACTGAAAATATAATTAATACATTTTTTTTTTTGTTTTGTTTTGGTTTCTTCAACTAGAAATCGATTCCCGAAATAGTTCTTGCGGAATTTTGTCACATTTTTGCATTTTGTTTACCAACGACAACACTTTTATGGAGTTTGCCAACAACATGTCGAACGGTGTTTCGACCTCTGCGGTGCCGTAATTCAAGATGCCGTTCAACGCAAACGAAATGAACTCGGCCATTTTGTCTTTGTACTCTTGCGACGTCGGGTCGTCGTTGTCCCTCACGAACTCCATATTGTTGAGCATGTACGTTAAACAGCCGTTCAAATCTTCGACGTTGGCTTGCAAGTAATCGCGGACTTCTTTGACGCGGTCCAACGTCTTCTCGTGTGCTTGGAATTCTTCTGCGGTGCACGAAGCTCGGTTGGCCTCCAGCCATTGTGGAAACGTGTCGCACAACTCCTGGCAGTACGCCTTTATCACGTCGAACGGACTGGTCTCGGCCAGACAGCCGAAGATGTCGTTCGGGGTGGCCTCGGACGCTTCTTTTCCCGTTCTGTTTTCGATTAACCTGTCTATGCGTTTGTCGATCTCGGCAAACAGAGGCGCCACGTCTTTGCGACCGATGAAATGCGGCAACACCTCGAACACGAACGTCTGCACCGCCGGATTGGACTGAAGCTCGTTCCAGAAAATAGCGGCTTGCTCGTTTGCCTGGTCGCTGATCAGCTTCAATGTTGTGCATATGTGCTTCCACAGTTCGTCCGGATCGTCCGGGTTTCCCGGCTGCAGGGCGAATTGTAGCCAAAACGTGTACTTGCCGTCGGCGTCCGGTCCGTCGGTAATTTGATTC